TTGCATTAAGTCTAGTACCTACCGAAGATGACTTTGCAGCAGTTCAGTATGCAGATAACTTTATCGCGAGGAGCCCGATAGCCGTTGATTTTCAACAATTCTGTAACCGGTTAGATAAATGTCGATCGAAGAAAAGAGGGCCCATCACATACCCTGCTGAGCTAAATTCAGAAAACGACGACCGTGAGAGCTCACTGGCGGTATGTCCAGATGCTCTTCTTTAACCCAGCTGTAAATCCGCATCTTCTGTGCGAGAACTTCGTCTCGCTCGATATCCTCCTGATGCTGCCCTCGTCTCCATGGGCCATGCATCCTCTCCATCTCACGCCTTTTGCTTCTACTCGCACTTCGCGGAATTGTGGGCGGACCCGGAATAGCTGGGGAAAAGGTTTGGGAATATAGTCTATTCATTACGAGCTTCTCCATCCCCTCTTTGGCGTTGTCAAATTCGCTGTCGGACACATCGCGCCATACTTCACACTGAGCCATTTTGTTTGTGATGAACACCAAGAAATCGCTGATAATCTTGACTTGTTCATGAACCATCCATTGTCGCTTCCCGAATTCATGGAGAAATGAGCGTAGGAACTTGGCAACCGGATCCGCAGTACGGTGACGCAGTTGCTCTAAGAAGCGATGGAAATCAAAAGGTTGATCTGGCTCAGGCTCGGGTGGCGGAGGGATTGTTGATGTCGACGAACGCCGACTTAACTTGGCCTCGTCGGCAGCAGAACTCTTGGGAGTCTTCGCGGGTTGTTTCTCAGCCGAGACAGAAGATACCCCTGTCGCAGACTTGGGCATGCGCGATTCGTCAGCCGCCGATTTACTGTGATCTAGGCTTGACTGACGAGGGGGAAAGTGGCTTTGTCCACCCAGGAACTGCTCGGCTAATTCCAAGCGGGGAGACATTATCTGTTCCTGCCCATCGCCGCGCGTGGAGTCTTGAAATTGATCCATAATGCTCTGGATTTCCGACTGGGAGTCATTGTCACCACCAGCAGTATTCTTCCTCCCATCTCGGTCACTTTCAGGCACCTCCGGCAACTCCTTATCAGTCAATTCGATCGCGGGCGAGTGTGTAATCGCGGAGTGAGGGTTTGAGGACACATAAAGTTCATCTTTCGCTGGGGGAGTAGGAGGGGTCTCTGCATTTGGCGACGTGGCAGGCTCCGGTCTTGCCGTCGTGGTGATAGAAAGCCCCTTCATCCGCTCCGGAAGCGATTCCCGGGGAGGCAACACAGGATTCGAGGGATCTGTGGCGGACGGTATCGGCATCGTGCTTGGGGACTCCGTGATGGTGGCCTGCGCTTCGCCCTGAGCACTCTCCTCCATGTCGCCTTGTTGCGCTTTTTGGCTGGTCATCGGCACTCCTGAGGTGTCATCCTGTTGCTCCGCGGCAGGCTCGAGGTTAGTCAAGCTCACTTGTTCAGTCGAACTAGAATCGTTGTGAACGGCCGGCTGGGCCTCCCCATGACCACTAGGAGCCGGGGATTCCGAGGGTTCTATCGCAGACATAAGCAACCTGCATGCACGCCAAAGTCAAACTAGAAATCAAAAGAGCCTCGTTAGGTAGAAACATGGATCATCATGAGGGGAATATGCGGAGACGTGGTTCCCGGGGCTGCCACGTAATAGACCACGAATGTCGGGTCAGCTAATATTGGCAACAGACTTCGAGGCCCCAGAGTCAATCAAAGTAGGTGTCAGGGGAGAAATTGCGGAAATATAGCAGAAAGGGACCCCAGATAGGGGAGTAAGCTCCATCAGCGCCGAGGATGACAGCCCGCAATCAGCGGCGGGGGATCATCGTTCCCCCGACCTCCGGCTCTCTTCTTGTGTTTCTCTTTCCTCTTCCTTTCTCTTTCCCCTTAACTAAATCCCCGCCAGCGTCTCGCTTGCGGTTTGCTTGCTACCATGTGTGGTATTTTCTTCTCTCTTAGCGCATCAGGAGCTGTGCTTCCTAATGAGGAGACTTGCTGCTTGTTGCGGAAAAGAGGACCTGATAATTACCATGTTCATAGCGTTGAACAAAAGATAACCAATTCACGGTCAAGCAATGAAGAGCCCATTGCTACTCAGCTTACCTTTGTTTCCACAGTCTTGTCGATGAGAGGTGGCTGTCTTGTGCCCCAGCCATTAGTGGATCCTACTACGCAGTCCGTGTTGTGCTACAATGGAGACGCCTGGAAGATATCAGGTGAACCTATCCAGGGCAATGATGCGGAGCTGATCTTTAAGCTGTTATTGCAGGCTGTAAACCACCAATCGAAGGCCACTTCGTCAGCAGATTTGGGTACGAGTGCTGTTCAAGGTGTTCTGGATGTTATCAGTAGCATTTCTGGTCCCTTTGCTTTTGTGTTCTATGATGCGATCAATTCAAAACTATTCTTCACGAGAGACTCACTTGGAAGACGCTCTCTACTCCAAGGTGTTGATGAGTCGGGGGCCTTCAAGCTGTGCAGTCTCTGCGATGGCACATCTTCGACCAACTTTAGTGAGGTCGAGACAGACGGAGTGTATGTGGTTGACTTAGAACATGCTATATTCCAGGATAACTCGATCGCAACGAAGAGTGCTGGTACACCTTCGTTCGATACAAGTTGCATACAGACTCTTTTCTGGGAGCATAATACATCCGATCTCCCTCTTCATCCTGTACGCACCTCTTCCTTTTCTGATTTTACCTAGCTAACAATTATGTAGAGAAACCCCGTCCCTCCGATGAATAAATCTATACCCGAAGGAGAAGCTCCTTCACTAACTGTTGAAACTACCGCTGTCAAGGAACTCGAGCAAAAACTACGTCAGTCCTTGGCAATGCGAATTCAGAATGTACGAGAACCTCCGACTGCTTCATCAGGGAGCAATGTGAAAGTCGCCGTACTGTTTTCCGGTGGCCTCGACTGCACATTACTCGCTAGGCTCTCTCATGAGATTCTACCAAAGGAGGAAGTCATTGATTTGCTCAACGTGGCATTCGAAAACCCGCGCGTTGCGGCCGCCGCAAAGGGCAAGGGAGAGGCTACTGGCTCCGTGTATGAAAGCTGCCCTGACCGTATTACCGGCCGGGCGGCATTCGCAGAGTTGCAGAGAGTGTGCCCCGATCGCAACTGGCGATTTGTTGCGGTAGATGTACCGTACCAGGAAACCCTTGCGCACCGTGAGACTGTCAAGCGTCTGATGAGACCCCACAATACGGAGATGGATCTATCCATAGCCTGCGCATTATATTTCGCTTCGCGTGGTCAAGGGCTGGCATTCGACAGTCGACAGATCGATGCTCAGCCCATGCAATATGCCACTTCGGCACGAGTGCTGCTGTCTGGCCTTGGCGCAGATGAGCTATTTGCAGGATATTCGAGACATGGAGCAGCATTTTCTCGGGATGGGTTCGCGGGCCTCATCGACGAGATCAACCTTGACGTCAGCCGCCTTGGAAAGCGAAACTTGGGCCGTGACAATCGAGTCATTGCACACTGGGGTCGCGAAGCGCGGTTTCCGTTGCTCGACGAGGAGTTTGTTTCCTGGGTTGTGCAGCTCCCAGTCTGGGAGAAATGCGGCTTCGGCACCCCTTCTCCACCAGCGGATTCACCAGAGGCAGGGCTCGATTCGGAGAAAAAGGCCCTCCGTCTAGTTGCACTGAGACTCGGCATGACGAACGTCGCCCGCGAGAAGAAGCGAGCAATCCAGTTTGGGTCCAGGACAGCCAAGATGGAGAAGAGCAAGGTAAAGGGGACTGATGCTCTTACCTGAATAGATTTCCTTTGTTTTTATTTTCCTTCCATCAACACCCTCCCCTTCAAATTCCCCCAATACGTCTTTGACGTACCATAACATGCCTCCACCCCCCAATCACATCAACACAGACCAGCAATGATGACAACTCTGGATCAGATACTTCTGAGACCGCCTCTTCGATCTATGCTCCCCATCCCGCACTCTCTCGTTTCGACCCTCAAGCAGACACGGCTCCAGTGACCCCCACAACACACTCATCGCCACACCTGTTTTATCACCCGTGGGAATGCAACCGCCTGCCCATCATCTAGGGGACTCCCTGCACCGTGAAACGGAGCGGGATCTCCTGATGGAACCAGGACTGGTACTTCCCACACGCTTAGATGGCGCTTTCTACGGAAGCATTTTCATGAGTGTGTTGGTATACTGGATGTCGGTTCGGTTTGTTGGTCGGGCGCGAGGGTATGGATGGTTCGGGCAAGCAAGAGGTTGTTTGTCTATGAAGTAGATAAAAAGGCAAGTCTGAGCTGAGTCGATTGCATACACATATGCACTTGCACATACATGAAACAGATGGAAATGTAGATGGGTTACGAGTGACGTTGGCTATATCAGTGGCTAAATGTACGATAGTGAAACCAATTCAGTCTTGGTACATGTACGTGAATGAGGAAGCTCGAAAGGGTTGTTTGTGGCAGCTTCTACGGAACTACTGGCCAAGAGCTTTAGCGGAGCGAAAACGGTTACAAAGAAGATATAATGCGCATATAAGATACTTGAATTGGAGAATACCATAGTTCACAGTCTGGTACATAAGCGCAACGATAATAACATAAAAGGCACTCGAATCAGTCAAGTACACGAGATAGATAAAGAGATTAGTGGCCACGAGTCAATCCCGATAGGTGGGAGACATCAGAACCGGCCATAGAAACAGAAAAGGCAGAAGAACCATAAAACAGACCCGCAGTACATAACTGGGGATGAGTAAATCACAGCAGCAGATGCAGAGATGCAGATCTACCGAAAAGTACACTGTGTAAGCTCCATAGTGAATGGCGCAAGAACAAAAGGAAACTTTTCAACTGTCGGAAGCATCACTCAAGAGACTGAATGATGCTTCCGACAGGTGGCAGGAGGCTCAACGCCCCCGCCCACAGAGCCCACTAGGGATAAGAATAGCACAATGAGCACAATACAGATACCAAAAACCAAAACCCCATGCCAAACCCAAAAAATGAAAACCCAAGAAACTTTTTAGATCAATTGGTGCCAGTCTTGGCCATGCTTCGCCAGTACTCCTCGCGTTGCTTGGACTCTTCAAGCATCCGCTCGAGCTCCTCAATACGACGCTCCATCTCGCCTTGACGCTCAAGCTTGCGAGCACGAGATTTGCGAGCAGCCTCGGTATTGCGGGCCCTCTTCATGGCGGCGGGGTCGGCAGAGTCAAACTTGATCGGAGGCAACGGCTTCCGCTGGCGCGCATTGACACCGGCCACTGTGGAGTGCTTGGTACCCTGACGGGATGGGGCAGGAGAGGCAGACGGCGCAGGCGAGGCGCTGTCACGGATCACTGGAGTCGGAGGGGGTCCGGTCGCCTTGGGCTGTTGAAGCGAAGCAGCAAGCTCAAGGGCAGCCGAGTCCAGGTCCAGAGAAAACCCATCCTGAGGGAACAGAGACTCCCACTCCTCAGGCACAGCATTCAGATCCATCTCGGTGTTGATCATGGGAGATGTGTTCTGACTGAAGAAGCCGGGCGTATCCAGCGGGGGAGTGCTGAGATCGGTGAAAGTCGTCGATGGGGGAGCCGAAGCATCGAAGAACAGATCCTTCGGCGAGACGGTGCCCGGAGGGGCGATCTCACCCATCGGGCTGAAGAACGAAGTGTTGATCTGGGGCGAAAGCATGTTGGACTCTGGGGAGCTGAGATCGTCCCCAAAGCGGTTGGACTGAAGATCAAAAAGCTCAGGGAAATCTAGAACTGTCTTAGCACCGTATACATAAGCGTGCACTGCCCAAGTGACGGGCTTACCTTGAGCGATGTTGGGGGTAGACATGATGCGGCGATGGTGTAGATACGAAGCGTATTTTTTCTTTAGGTTTTGGTTGTGCTGATTCTGAAAGGCGGAATAGTTGACCGTCTTGTCGTTAAATAGAGGGACGGGTGGGCGGTTAGAGTAGGCAGTGTTGTTCACTGCAGGAGTAGAATTCGAAGCGGCAGGTGTTGCGAACCGACGCGCGAGATGCTTTCGCAGAGCGGGGTGAGACCAAGAAGACGGAGACGATGAATATCCGGAAGATTGAGCGGCTAATCTGGCCGAAAGAGGAACCTGCGCAGGCGAGCCTGGGAGCTGCTGATGCAAAGCTGAAGAGTGTCGTCTAACAGGATACCCTGGTTGGACCAGAGAAGGTTGATATGCGGATAATCTAGGGGTAGAATTGATCGGTGCTTGAGCACGCGAGTCCCTGGGTTGCGGCGGGGGACACGGAGCGGGAAAGAGCACGAAGTCCTGCGGAAGGGGACTGGGATTGTTGTTGTTGTTGTTGTTGTCGCTGAGAATCGAATTCACTGGAGCCGATGGCTGCTGAGGCGGGGGCGTGGGAAGCCATGATTGCTGTTGGGTATCCGTGGTGAACGACGAGATGTCGAACGGGAAAGCGTTGTTCGGAGAACTTGAGCTACGCAAAGCGATGCTAAAGTTCAGAGGTCCTGGGACAGGAGACTCTGAGGGGGTGGAAGAGGAGAGATTAGAAAAAGACGAGGTCCGAAGAGGATCTATGGTGTCTGTCTCGTACGAGAAAGACGTAGCTGGTGCGGGGGAGGCGTTTAGCAGGCCATTTTGAAAGCACGGAGTATCAGAAGCGGTATAAGTATGATGCTGTATGGTGACTGAGTTGTGATAAAAATGAATAGAGAGATGTGTGGAGTGGGAAGAAAAGATGAAGTGGGAGAGAAAGAAAAAGGAGGGAGAAAAGAAGCGCCAGGCAGCGACGGGAAGCCAGGCACTTCTTAACTGTTTGTGTGTGCGGTCTTGCCCGGATCTCTCCGCCAATCACCATTGATCGGACCCCCGCCTGGTGCCCTAGCCTGATTGGGGATAGTCAATCTTACGCGGTCAGCAGGTGTGAGTCATAGGGACAGTAAAGCCCACGATTGGCTGCCAGATCCAATAAGTGGGGTTTGCAGGAGCCCCAGGCATTCCCGTGCCTGGAGCAGCACGTCTCAATTATCCTGTATTCTACTGTGTAGTACCAGGCAGGTACGTAGGTTTTCCTCCATTCAGCCCGCAACGGAAATGTCACTTGCAGGTCACTGGCCCAGTAGCAGCAGGCCCCCCTCAACCTTGGATTCCTGGCCCTGCTTCGACTCCTTCATTGAACTCCACCACGAGACTAATCTGAAAGGAAGAAACTAAGAAAAAAACAAAATTGAAATAAAAAAAAAAAAAAAAAAAAGAGGCCGCGCGACTTACTGTGGGTGATGAAACCGGTTCGCACCCGTGCCGCCGACCGGACCCATTGGCCAACCAGCAGGCACCATGCATTTCTGGGCCTTCATCACAGCCCGTCGGGGTCTGCATTTGGTGCAGCGCCCGGGGGTGTCATTGGGGCTGAGCCTGAGCCTCAATGTCTCAACTGTCTGCGAATGAGACCTGTCCTTGTGTCCATCACTTTCTTGTCCCGTGCGACTGTCACTCCCTGTGTGCTCTGGAGGATCTATCTATCTAAGCCTCAACTCCTGGCTACCGTGTCCTTGTCCCGGTTCACTGGGGCCGCAGGAATACGATGCCGCACCAAGGGATACTAGACAAAAAAGACAGAGAGCCGGTTTGCAACCAGGGTTTTTTCACCCGGTCGGAGGATCCTTTCCCTAATTCCCTCCCCGCCCTGCAGCCCCTCTCCTCGCCAAAGTCGCTCGAAGGGCGTGAAATTCCACTCGGGTCAAACTCTATCAAGACACCGAGACGTTCCGGCCTTCATCTGACCACAAATGAGATTTCAAATTAAAACGACCCTTGGCGAAATATTGCCCTAGAAAGGATTCACACAATTACAAGGGAATTAAATTGAATCCGGTCCCGTCAGATTTTAAGGAGATTATTCTCGCTGTAACAGGGATGGTATATTCGTCGGGGGGGTCGTATTATCTCCGGGGAGGTGCGTCGTATATTCCGGGCGGAGCATAAAAGATAACTACTAGACTAGACCAAGACTATTGGAATTCCTCATTCTACTCCGGAGTAATTAGTAATGCACGGGACCAACCGGCCCATGTGAAACCTAAAAGCCAATTACCTGCAAAGCGGAAAAAAAATTCACTTGTGTCCATTTCCATTTTCCATCCGAAGTTGGCATTTCTAAGATCGGGGTCTAGAAGGAGTAAATGGAGGGAGAATACTAGGCAACAATTCTGACTTCACAACCTATGTACCTACCATCTCCTGCCAATTCACCCCCTCAGTTAATCAGGAGACGGACAATTCAACACATCTCGAGATCGCACATGTCGTACGTATGTACATGCCTGCTAGCTAATAGATACCGTTGCAACCTGCTCCGAGTGGGGATGCCAATCAGCGTCTGCATACATCAGCCGCGGCGCGCGCGCGCATCTCCGCCGTATGCAGGCCGGTTATACCATGCCTGTCCTGTCCCCAGGCAGCCGCCGGCGATGACGTCTTGTTCAGGGAGTCGATGATGCCTGGTCAGCACTACACAGTACACAGTACACTAACTTGTCGTCTACGACTCGGGAAGAGTAAAACCAAGCTTTCATTTTCGTGTTCATCTTGAAACTTACGGGATTGATTCGTGCTGCATGGTACACCTAGCCTGAGGGCAACTAGTCCCTTCCATTCAAGCTGATTAGGCAGACCCTGCGAATGCGAGACAACTGCACGAATAACAATAGTAGTACTAGCCGTGATGTGTGATCCCTTTTGCATATGCTCCCTCTCCCTTTCCCTTCCCCCCCTCCTTACATCTTTTCTTCCCCTCCTGTCGAATTGGCGACGGTGATGGTTCCGGCGCTAGGCGAATTACCCGTGCGCTCCGTGCAGGCGCCAGGCTGCCAGGGCTGCGTGGGTTGTCAAGTGCCCATGCTGTCGATTATCCCTGTTCATTCTTTGATTCGGTCTTAAGGGGAATGCAGTTTCTCATTCAATGCTTTGCTCTGTATGCAGTGTATGGTAGTTGTGCGTAAGTAGGTATTTTGTATGTGTCGTAGCCTTTACCTCCAGCCCCTGTAATATATATACCGAAGAAACATGTTGCAGAACAACACAACGCCAACTGAATGGAACCAATCACCAACATTACCAAGCAAATCAAGCAATATAAGCTCTGGCCACCTGTCAGCAGTACTACTATCTAGGCGCTTGAACTCGCCTCAGCCATATTCATCCACTCCTATGAAGCAGAGGACCACCACCTTACCTATCTACTACCACCTACTAGTAGTAATCAAACCCCACATCCGAAACACAACCACTGAATCCACCCAAAGCACAGATACAATCGCAGCCTCACTACCCTCGACGCCTGCAACACAGCTAGTCTACAGAGTACAGATCAGTCTAGCCCCTACCACCCCCGCTACTATCATAACAAGTAATCCTTCCCCCAGAGGGCTCTAGTACACAACCAGGCATCCACATACGCCATGCCTCAGAAGCCACAATCGAACTACTACCCATCCTATCTCCCAGTCAAAATAACCTAAATCCCCCCCATCCAGGAACCCCGATGCCTAACACATCCACTTAACTCCAGGCATCCAAGTCAACGAACTACCTCGCCAAGATAAAGGTTCACCCCAAAGACCCCGAACCGGAATCCTACGTACTAGGCAGCATACCTAACATTCAGGAAAGGACATACACACGACCCTGATGCGTGACAAAGCACAGTCTAGTCCAGACCAGTCCAGAATTCTATACTCCACTCCACCCCCAGGCATCAATGAAGTACACATATTTCCTGAGTTATCTAGACGGGGTATGTCCATTGCGTACTGCCAGCACACTATGATATGCGGAAGGTGAGATGGATATATGGAGAGACTAGGCGGCAATCGACCAACACAGATTCCCAGAATACGGAAGTGAAAGCACCGGTGGATTGTACTATAGTAGTAGTGGTAGTAGTAGTAGTAGTAGTAGTAGTAGTAGTAGTAGTAGTAGTAGTAGTTTTAAGACTAACCACACGCAATCTTAAACCACTACACTATTATATCAGGCTTGGAAGCTTAATTGTTCCTGTATTTACATACACCCACCTGCGGGTGCGGCATTCAGGGGAGTTGGTGAGAAACAGTCCATGAGATCAAGGGTGGTGATATGAAGATATAGGTACTAAACCAAGATGCCCGCCGGAGGTAACAGCATCATGACGATCCAGTGGATATATATCTGCGATGCGAGGTTGGTATTCCCGATTTATATCCAGAGTAAATGCAGATGATGGGGTATATTGGCTAGTTTCAGGGTTTGATACACGTACTAGTACTTGGATAGTAGGTCATGTTGGACAGCGAATAACAGCTAGTTGAGGTCAAATATAAAAGCCTAGTTCTTATGTATAACACACAAAAACAATGTGCAATGGATGAAGGAATGAAAACAAAAAGAGAAATTTAGCTCCGATAGGGGGAATCGAACCCCCGGCTGCCGTGTGAGAGACGGCGATGTTAGCCACTACACCATATCGGATACTTGTTGAATGATAGGTCATTTTACGCTCTTATCAGTGGCTTGATAATGCATCCGCCAGCTCAACGTCCATGCTCTCCTTCTACGATAAGCTTACATTCAAGAGTCCCCACCCCGTACACCAAGTGGACCGTCAGCACGTTACTCCTGTGGCGCTTAACAAAGTACGACAATCACCCAAGTCTAACACCTCGGGTACACTACTACTAGGCATTGAAATAGAGTATAGTGGATATGTTACTAACAATACGTGGATTCTATTAAGTATTACCTTATGATGCTGTGCCATGTATACATGGCGCTATCAGCACGCTGTCACCATGTAGCCATGGTAGTCGACGGTTCGGGCCAATTTGAGTGGAGGGAAGTCCCCGTCCAGCTGACAAAAAGCACCCTTCCTCCCAGTAGGGTATCAAGACAAAAGCATCAAACAGCAACATGAGAACATCAAAGAGCAAGCAATAAACAGCAACAAGTGGTATCAATCTAGTTTGGACGGCGCACAACATGAACACACAAGGCCAGTTGGGTATCCTTGCGGAACGCATATCATAAAGGAATGAAACGCAGCACCGGACACGCAATAGACATCCGGGCTCGGAAATGACCGCCAAAGCAGCAGAGGGTATCATTGACACTCATCTTGGCAGACCTCGCCTTGCACAGGGAGGGATACCAAAATGGTGGCAGTGGGAACATCAATTAGACACAAAAAGTAACAATCATTGGATGTATTTTTTTCTTTTCCGGGCTTTTCATTTTCCAGAACGACTGATCATCGAGAAGTTGAAGGATTAGGATACGAATACCGCTGGTCCCACCATTTCTCATACTCGACTTCCTTGCGGGAAGCACTTCATGCAGCAGCCTGAACAGGAGTAGAGGTGGCGACGTCGACGGGCTTGGACTCCTCAGCGGGAGCAGCCTCAGCGGGCTTAGCGCTCTCCTCGGCAGGAGACTCCGGAACGGTAGCCTCCTTGGGAGCAGCCTCAGCCTCGGTGGCCTCCTTGGTCTCCTTGGGCTCGGACTTCACGGCCTTGCTGGGCTTGCGGAAGATGCCACCAAGCTTGTTGCCCTTGGCCTTGGGCTCGCCATCGGCACCCTCGTTGTCGGAGTCACCCTTCTTCTTGCCGAAGTTGCCGAAGAAAGAGGTGCGACGCTTGTCCTTGGGGGTCTCAGCGGCGGGAGAAGCGGGAGCGGCGTCCTTGGCAGCCTCAGCCTCAGCGGGAGCAGTCACGCTCTCGGGCTCGATGGGCTTCACAGCGGCCTCCTCAACGGGGTTGTCCAGCTGAGGAGCAGTGCTAGCAACAGCGGTCTCGGCAGGAGTAGTGGCCTCCTTCTCCGACTTCTCGTGGGAGGGGCTGGTGACCTTCTGGAAGAAGTTGCCGAAAAGAGAAGCACGCTTGGACTTGGGGGCAGGGGTTTCCGCCTTCTTCTCTTCCTTCTCCTCCTTCTTCTCCTCCTTTTCTTCCTTCTTGTCACTGGCTTCAGCAGGAGCAGCTATGTTGGCGTTAGTATTTTATACACTGAAGACACTATTATACGGTAACATACCCTCAGTGGTCTCAGCGGCAGCCGGAGCCTCAGCAGCAGGAGCCTCAGTAGCAGCCTCAGCAGGCTTGGCCTCCTCGGCCTTGTCCTCCTTGTCCTCAGCAGGGGCAGCCTCCTCCTTGGCCTCCTCCTTCTTTCCAAGAAGAGTTCCGAAGATGCTGGCCCTCTTGCGAGACTGAGAGCGGCTCTTGGAGGCAGCCTTGTCCTCCTTCTTGTCCTCGGCGGGGGCAGCCTCCTCCTTAGGCTCGGCCTTCTTAGCGGGCTCGGCAACAGCAGGCTTGCCTGTTGGGGGTTAGCGGCCTAACTTTATACGCTGTTCA